AGAGTGGCACTTGGCACTCCTCACACATAAGATGAGTGTCTCTGCATGTTTGTGGGCGTTTTGCGGTATGTGTACATACACAACACCTCTTCTGAGCATTTTTCTTGGAAGCAGTAGGAGGCAGCTGTATGGGGTAGTGATCACCAGGCCTCAAACGAGATGGCGTGTGTGTTGGTAATTTCGTGTGCGCTGGTCTATTGCAGGTGTTGCTCCTTGGTACTTTGCGATTATTTGTCTGATTACTGACAAACAAAACTCACCATATTTTGGTGTTTTGTTGGTCTTCAACTTGTATATGTTATAAGCATTTGGCATGGAGATATCAACAAGATGGAAAAAAAGTTTTATATACCACTTATAACTCTTGCATACTCAATCAGCAAACCCAATCTGCATGTCACATTTGCCCACTTAGCGCATATTGAGGTTGTAGTCCATGACAGCTGCAGGCTTTAGAATGGTTCATTGGTCTCTCTGTTGTGCCTGCCACTGTGTGCCATTTCATTTCAGTGAACTGATGTCAACTATGTGACATCACGTTTGTCATGCCACCGAAATGCCATGATGTCATTGGCAGCAAAGGCTTGCACCTCACCTCTGCAAGTGCAGCGTTGAACCTTGGCATATGTTTACGATTACCACGCACTGTGCCACACACGTCTGTCAAGTTCACTTGCAAGAAATCACTGAGTAAGGGGCTTGTGTACCAGTTATCAGTAAATAACATATGCCCCTTACCAAGATATGGTTCCATTATTGTTCTAACCACATCACCAGAGATACCCAATAACTTCATGGTATCTCGCAAACTATTACTGCCAGTGTACACAGTGATATCCAAAACTAGACCGCTTCTGCAATCACACAGTACAAATAGCTTTATACCAAAGCATTTCCTCTTGCTTGGTATATATTGCTTGAATGAGAGTCTTCCTTTGAACAAAATCAAAGACTCGTCAATAACAAGCTTCCTGAAGGGATAAAAATACATGCAGCCCTTTTGTTCCATGTACATAAACACATTTCTGATCTTATATAACCTGTCGCTTCTGTCAGGCCTGGTTTTGTCTTGAAAAGTGTAACATACGAACAGTATCAAGAAACGATTGACACCTATAATGTCACTAAAACCTGGAGTTGAAATCAGGTATTCTGTTGCCCAGTGTGTGGTGACAGTGTGCTTATGCACATGTGGCATAAGCATTTTTTGTGGCAAAAAACAGGTACATCTCTGCCACAGTTGTCTCCTTCCACTGGTGTAGCTGTGATCTTGGTGAGAGAATTGTACAGTATTTGCCATGGTGCATTCATTGTATGTGTTGGTTTCCCTGACAATGATGTCCATCAGGGTTCATCGAAGAATAACTCAAAGCATTCCAGTTCACTAGCATTGTTCCCAAGTGGACATGATGGCTTTATTCCACTTTGTGTTTTCATCAAAGTCATGGGGGCTGGAACAAACTCGTCACCTTCCTGCCAATCCCAGATGCGGTCTGCTGGTGGGTTCTGATATTGTAACGTGGTTGTGGTTGTGCAGGTTGTGGTTATGTAGGTTGTGGGAGTGTGGGTTGGGTGAGGCTGGTTGTTGTGCAGAGTCAGCAGCATGGCACGCTGCTGGGGCCACATGGGTCGTGCCACCATCACTATCACCACCACTGCCTGCTGCCTCACTCACATCATTCATACCCATCGTAACAATATCGTCATCTTCACTATCAGGTCATGGTGTAAGGGCCACGGATGTCTCCCTAGAGTTTCTCCTTCCCCTTGGAACCCGCATGTGAAACACTACCAACCGCATGCTACGTCGTACATACTGCCGCTTCACTGGGAATATTTACCCTCACTGTCACAACTAGAACTGCTTTCAATAACCTTGAAATCACTATCACTATCACATTCACTGCTAACATCTGATGTTGTACACGACCAAATAGTTTCCTCTTTCGTCCTGGAACAGGTTGAACGTGAAAAGTGAACAAGCCGCCCAGCACCAGAAGTGGATGGTTGTGGGTCATCTGGGTATTTCATCACTAATTAAAGTCACCCTGGGCACTTTTTTCAGTCACACTCACTTGAAAACCCTGAATTCACTGTCACTGACACTTTCATCGCTGTTAGAGCTATCACTTGGGAACAAAGAACCTCCAATCCGCCGAGGAGTGAGGTACTTCTTACTGCGAGGCATGGTGAAAATAGACTACCAAGATGGTGTTCCCACAATGCACCGTTGAGTCCCTGTTTTTTTCACAGGGTGCACACCCACCACTGAGACCCCCCTTTTCTCTCATGTAGGCCTACCAGGCCTTTCCTGCTTGATTTGAAGCCGCTAGAATTTATGCGTATAAATACGTCAGAAACAGTGGTGCATAAGACGTATATATACGGCTTAAACAGTCAAAGGGTTAAAATGCCGACTTTGTGGTCTATTTCCGTATAGTATTTATGGTTGTATTCAGGTAGTAGGTTGGTAGACAGCAACCACCCAGGGAAGTACTACCGTCCTGCCAGATGACTGTGAAACAAAAACCTGTAACTGTTTTGCATGATGGTAGGATTGCTGGTTTCTTTTTCTGTCTCATAAACACGCTAAGATAACAGGATATCTTGCTACTCCTACTTACACTTTGGTCACACTTAAGACAAACGCACATGCATATATATAATAAATACATCTAGGTTTTTCTCCTTTTTCTAAATAGCTCTTGTTCTTTTTTATTTCTTCTATTGACCATTTGGGAAGTGGAAAGAATCTTTCCTCCGTAAAGCCATGCGTGTCGTATGAGGCGACTAAATTGCCGGAGCAAGGGCTAGTAACCCCTTCTCCTGTATACAATTACTAAAAAGAGAAAAGAAAAACTTATATTTTTAATACTTGACGTGCTGTTGGAGTGTAAGCAAAGTAACATTTATGAAGGGATTCAGGGAAACCGGCAGGCCGGACTTGAGTCCTGGAGATGGGAAGTACAGTGCCTGCACTCTGAAGGAGGGGTGTTAATGTTGCAGTTTAAAAACTGTAGTGTAAAGCACCCTTCTGGCAAGACAGTGATGGAGTGAATGATGGTGAAAGTTTTTCTTTTTCGGGCCACCCTGCCTTGGTGGGAATCGGCCGGTGTGATAATAAAAAAAAATAATTCTCGTTTTCTTGGTCTCATTTGATAGAATGGAAAACATATAGAAACAGAGGTGATTTTGATTGGTTTTACTATGAAAAGAACCTTGAAATGGAGCTCAAAATATGGGAAATCTTTGATTTTTGCTGATGTTCAAAAGTAAACAAATGATGTCATTTTCCAATAAATGTCCAACTAGCCATTCTAATATGCAGTCATGAATGGGTTGACATTATTTATACAATTATTACAATATTGCAGTAGTCTGCATGACAGTAAATCTTCTATTTTTTGTTTGAATAAAAATTCAAAATAGAAAGCAAGAGTAACATCAGAGGGGCCTGGAGATGTGACTGATGAACAAAGAAAATGTTATTTTAGAGCCAGGAATGCCTGCACTGTTCATTCTGGACCCTATTTTGAAATTGTCATATTTTTTATGAAATTGGCCAAATTGCAAATTTCTGACTACGTTATGGGTAGTTGAGAGTGGAGAATGGGCAGTTTCTTGTACTCAGTTGATAGAAAAAATGAGTTCTAAAGAAATAGCTTGATTTCGTCAACTGGAACAGTGAATTAGCCGAAAATATTGCTCAAAGTGGGCGAAATCGCCGCTTTGTAAATATCACCTAGGTCGCTAACTTCGCGAGAGTGTAATTCCGTCAGTTTTTCATCAAATTTCGTTCTTTTGGTGTCATTACAATCGGGAAAAGATTCTCTATCATTTCATAAGAAAAAATTATTTCTGGGGGGAAATTTTGCGACACCAGGAGACACCTCAGGATTTGGGGTTGCGACAGTCAAGGGGTTAAAGCTATGGCACTGAGGGTTTTGGAAGTTATCCAAGTCATTCCAGGATGCTGGGAATGGGTTCAAGAATTTTGGTCATATGTCATGTGAACAGGCCACTTGTTACAAGAATTTAGTCTTAGTTACTGTATGCAAGTGTTTGAACATTGGAAGATGATTGGACGAGGCATTCTTTGATACTTAATAATAACACTACTCAAGCTGAACCTGTCTTGATTGTGAAATACAGTAAAATATATCTTTCTGGTGCACACCTTACAGAATCTGCTTGTAACAACAGTAGCTATTCTCCTTGTCTACTGGATGTCTTCTCTTTTTCTTGAAATCATTTGCAGTATTTTGGTTTAATTTTGCCATGTAGCCTTGTACTAAATCTGTAATATCATAATTAATATCCACAGAAAGGTCAGCGTACAAGATTTTTTGAAAATGTTGTATTTTCTAGCTAAGAATCTTAATCTTACCTCAACTTATTTTAGTGAGTAGCCCTATCTGATGGTTACTACTACTATATTGTGATGCAAACCACAACAGTTGGTTGAGCGGAGTCTTCGGTATTCAACTCAGATTTTTTGAGAAAAACCTCCAAAGCAGTTTTTGTTATTGAGCTGAAATATTTGAAATATTTTTGTCCCCCTTCATGTTTCATATTTTGCTTCTCTGGAAATTTTTTTTTTCCCAACCTTTAAAATGAAAGTGAAACTTGTCTGGTGAAGAGGAATATGCAGATTCTTACAGCAGCTCTGTTGAAACACTATCCATCTTGTGATTACAGGAATAGAACATTGCTCTTTGTATCCAGTATATAGTTTTTAGTTTATCATATAACTCTTTTAAGTTTACACTGTGTCTCATTTGACTCCTTTTTAATCCCGTTCCTGAAACCTACAACTCAATTAAAAAAATTTTGTATTCTTTGACGCCATTCACCCTAGTTTACAACGTGGCCTTTTGTTCTCCCTGATGATGGTGCTAAGAAATATTGTTTTTGTTTTTATATTCATTTATCAACTTCTATGCTGTGTCTTTTATTCTGTATCAGTATACAGTACTACATAACATTTTGTTTTCTACAGAGATCTTGTGTGCTGGAACCAATCTTGGTAGTGTGGCCATGTGGAAATTTGAGGAGCATAAACCTGGTGAAGATGAATATTCAAGTGACCCTGAGAAAGATTGGAAGTTACAGAATCCTTCAGTCATCTCAGGAGCAGTAAAACAGGTTAAGATCTATTTTTATATTGAGTGTAAAATTTTATTGAAAGTGAGGTGCCATAGCTGTTGTAGAGTATGACTTACCCAGTAATAATTAACAACACATAGTACTATTTTTTTTTTTTTTTTTCAATAAGTTGGCCGTCTCCCACCGAGGCAGGGTGACCCAAAAGGAAAGAAAATCCCCAAAACGAAAATACGGTGGAACCTTGACTTAAGAGTTTAATCCATTCCAGGAGCTAACTCGTTACTCAATTTACTCGTATATCAAATTAACTTTGCTCATTTAAATTAAACGAAAAGCCATTAATCTGTTCCTGAACTCTGGAGAGCCGAGAAAAAAACACTTGAATGTGATGCTACTGTCAACTATACGGCTTATTTATCTATCAAAATTCATCTAATATGACATAATAAACATTTTAATTAACACAGAAACATGATATATACTCTAGAATGAATAAAATAGGCCATAATATAGTGGCAGAGGCAGCGGTGGAAGCATCCGCCATTTCCTGTGTGTATATAGTGAGAGTATCTTACCATGCTCTTATTGTAAGAGAAAATGGAGTATTTTTGAGGCTAACTGCAGTAGATCACTAGTTTTCTAAGGAAAACACTGAAAATATCATATATAAACACATAATAAATCATAATACACTACAGAATATAAAGAAATAATAAACTGTTCATATAAAGTGTATCTTAGGTCACACTACACACACATGTACAAGCATATACAGTATATACACACCCCTCTGGGTTTTCTTCTATTTTCTTTCTAGTTCTTGTTTATTTCCTCTTATCTCCATGGGGAAGTGGAACAGAATTCTTCCTCTGTAAGCCATGCGTGTTGTAAGAGGCGACTAAAATGCGGAGACAAGGGCCTATTGTAACCCCTTCCCCTGTATAAAATTACTAAATTTAGCCCTTTGAGTTTTGGTTGTATATATATACGTCTTACGCGCCACTGTTTTCGACGTATTTATACGCTAAATTCTAGTGTCTTCAATATCAAGCAGGAGAAAGCTGGTAGGCCCACATGTGAGAGAATGGGGTCTCCATGGTCAGTGTGCCCATATAAAAAAAAAACGGGGAGCCAGTGGTGCATTGTGGGAATGCCATTTCAGTCGTCCTTGTTCAGCATGCCTAGCGCTTAAGAAATATGTGACTTCCAGCAAATCTGGGACTCTTCTCTTCCCAAGTGATGCTCTAACACAGATGGAAGTGTCAGTGAAGATCAATTTCATGGTTTTGAGGAGTTTGAGACCAAAACAATGCCCAGGATAACCCAAAAAAAGAATGAAAGGAGGAATGAAGAATGAAGGAGAATGAAAGAAGGAAGGAGAAGGAAGAATGAAGGAGAAAGGAAAAATGAAGGAGAAGGAAGAATGAAGGGGAATGAAGAATTAAGGAGAATGAAGAGTGAAGGGGAATGAAGAGTGAAGGAGATTGAGGGTGAAGGAGAATGAAGAGTTTAAGGAGAATGAAAAATAA